TACTACAAAATAGCTGTTATAATATCAATTATTTAAAAGATATTCTGTCTTGCCTTTTGTCTTGCCTGTTTTCTTTTCCCTATAAATAACTTCAGGCCTTTTAACCCAGAAAGACAACAACAAAACTGCTTAAGAATTAACCGATTGGATTAGTTCTTGATTACTGCTTTTCACTTTTGATAAGATGTTTCTATAATGTTTTAGATCTTTCCACATACAAAACATCTACAGAGACTGGAGAAAAATACTACTTTGTTAAAACCAATTTCTAAACTATATATGTCAAGGCTAAAGTCCAAAATCAGAAACCTTTCAATAATCTGTAAACTAATTAGTGAACCTGTGGCAACAGTCTTACTTTAAGATAACTAATGTCCTGGGGGTGGGGGGGGTTCTCAAAAACAGAGAAACATCCAAAGGATCTTTTTCTAAATCTAATACATCTGAGGCAAAATAAATAAATAAATAAAACAATAAAAATAAATAAAATAAAAAACCTAATCACTTAAGTAGAAACTATTTGTTTTAGGCATAATAAAAACTTTCTCTTAATTTACCAAGTTTCCAATGAGGTCAGCAGCCACCAATTTAATGACAACAGAAAAATGCACCAGCACCGGTGCCTTCTTCTGTCCTGCCTTTAAAGTTGTAAGACCCATATGTTAAATTGTTGGGAAAATATAGGCTAATCGAAAAATGTCCTCAATCCAAAAGGAAGGTAAATGAATGATACAGTACTGAGGAGAAAATGGGTAAAATGAAGCCTAAGAGAATAAACACTACCATATTACTCATTATTCCCTAAAAAGCATAAAACTTCCAGTTTCTACAAACTATACTCCAGAACACAATATATACAGGAATTCAAATGTTGAGCTGAATAAAGCAAATGTGAATTAGCTCCTCTGAAAGTAAATAGCCTTCTTTTAAGGTGAGGGCAATGGGCAATAACTAAAGTGCCACATAATCCAAGCCACTGTACAGTAGAACGGCAGCACTACTGTAGCTCCAGAAAATATGATTAGATTTTCATTTTCAATGAATAAACCATTACGAGAAAGCAATTAGAACTGCATCCTAGAATGTCTCAATTCCTTTGTCGTGTACTTCACTGTAAGAGGACCGTCTTTTCCAACTGTAAAAGCTGCACCCTCCATCCAATGTTTTCAGATATTATTTCTGTAGCATGATAAACATGCAATGTAAACGAAGACAGCTAGACTTAGAGACTTCATGGATTTAGTTTTTAGTTCATGAGCTGGGTAGTTCTCAGCTGCCCAAAAGAACAAGTGTTAAAGGTAAAGCCACAATCCTGCCTTTAGGTCACAACTACTCCTATAACCCTTAGCAATAACAACAGCTGCTCCAGACAAAGCCCCTTCTTGTGGAATGCTAGATTACTTTCAGCTGCAACAGGCAAAGAATTTCGGGGTAAAGGAGAAACCAGAAGAACCCAATTATATGATAAACATAGGACAAACTATCAGATGTTTCACCTTTGAACTGCCAAAGATTTTCAACAGCTTACCAAAAGCAATGAAACAAAGCAAGCTATTACATGCCTTGGCAAAAGATGATTAGCAGGTTTACTTACAGCATTTGGGCATACCCAAAGAGTCTACCATTCTTTCCCCTAGAGTACTCAAGGTAGAAACCATGTGGATACTTCCAGAGCTATATCATAGTACACCCACAGGAAGATCATCACCTACCACACTCCTGCACTGAGCACTTTAAAATCAGTTTCAATACCCCCTTTAAAACAAAACAAAACAAAACCCAACCGTATGAAGTAGTTCCATTACGATATCTACCATGAGGATTCTGAAACACAAGGATAGGGCACAATTCTCTGAATATACTGAAAACCAATTAATTGTACACTTTAATGGGGTAAATTTTGTGATACATAGGTTAAATCTCAATAAAGCTGTTATTTTAAAAAACAACCAATACCATAGCACATTATCACTTACATGGAGATGACTGCAAAGAATAAATTTAAATTTTTCCAAAACTATGACTTTATATTCAAATAAAATGGAAAGACAGAGGTAGTGTAAATCCAAACCAACCATTATCACTAATTCCCATCATGCCTTAAGGAATAGCACATCTACAGGGCTTGTCAGCTACTCAGCATAAGAAAGCTACTGCAATCTACCACCATCTTTACCACTTCTTTTCAGAAAGTAAACATGTCTGTTTTACTTTTCTCACACTCTTAAACCTCTTTTACAAGTCCTCAGAGCAATAAGAATTTTAAAATAACAGTAAGGGCTTGGAGAAGCAAATGCAAATAATGCCTACGTGAGAAAACAGTTAAAGGAACTATCACTTTAAGATAATGAAGCAGTCAACATCTTTATCGCTAAAAGATAAACACTGAGGTCTCTAGGCTCAGAGCTTAAAATGAAATACAACAACTTAGAAAAGAAATACAAACAAAGCTTTAACGGAGCTGCTTTCTCAGGATTACACTAAAGATTAGATTTGGAGAAACTAAGGCGGCAAAATGCTTAAATGCTAGATTTCAGCTGAGTTGCCTATTCCAAGCAACAGAAGGGTTTATCAATGTCAGGCCTTCATTCGAAAGCAGCAAAAGAACAGAAAGTTAAATGAATGTGACTGAAATGAGGAGTGACATAGGGGGATGGCAGTAGGGTAAACTAGATATACCATGGTTGCTCTGAAATATAGAAGCAGTGGCCCCAAGATTACTAAGGGTCAGGCAGAATTCTCCAATTTCCCAAAGACAAGATAAATTGTCAGCTCCAAGTAACTATTCAAATATCAATTTAGAAAACGCAAACACTCCAAAACATAAACATTTCACTCTATAACAATGTGCCTTGCTCAAGTTAGCATTCCTCTATAAAAAGCCAGAGAGGACACAGCTGAGAAGGAAGCCCTCAGTGCACATCTGCTGGGCACTTCACACGTGACCTCATGTGACCCTCCAAACAAGTCCATGAGACAGGTAACTTGCCCTCTAATCCCACAGTGAAACACTGAGAGGAGGGAAGACTCTGGCCAAGGTCACACCACTGGTCAATTTGGTGTCTGTGGGGGGACGGGAAGATCAGCCCCTTCATCTCATCAAAGGGATTTTTGGCTTGACAGAAGGCCTCTCTTATAAATGAATTTTTTGTTCTAGCTTTTAGCTTGCTGCTCTGCTAAAATAATGATCACCATCTTCTGCTTTTTATAAAGTGATGCATCTGCACACACAAAAGAACCTCTTTCAAGAGCTGAACACTATTGGAGTCACAGCTATGGACGTTATCAGCATGTGGCATTTAACCTGAAGACTAACAGCACATAAAACTGACCTTAAGAGACTGAAATCCCACTGGCACCCCAAAGCTTTCTGAGCTCCCTACAACCACATTCTCTGTGACTCTGCTTTCCCTCTGTTGTAGCTGAAACATTCTTCTGCCCAGTCCACAACATGGGTGGGATCTGAACACGTACTTAAAAAGAAAACCACAGTCTGGAGGTCAATGTCAGAAAAAAAGATAGGACATAGATTAAAACTAATGCAGGGACCATAACCACTTCTTAGAGAAAGACATTAAAGAATAAAAGCCACAATTCAGGCTTGAAAGACAGCTTAAACCACAACCAGCAAACCAAAGAGTATCAAACTTGTAAAAGAGCTTAGAAACTGTCAAAGGTACTCAGCGCTACTGGCCCTGACTGCAATCTCTTGCTTCCCAAAGAATATCAATGTGTATTCTAAATACAACACATTTGGTCAAAGAAAAATCTTTTTTCTTGAAGCACAATTTGACATTGGGTCAGGGGGTGGGGCAGTGATAAAAATAAATCTGAGTCCCACTTTGTTTACATAGTTTTGAAACATTTAGACAAAAGTTCACATTTCTAAGTGAATGACCACGATGCCCTTCCTGTTTAATTTGGAGACCAGAGATCTTTAACTTAACCTAGCATTCCTTAGGAGACTCGCACCCTCAGGGCTCCAAGTCAGCCTGGGATTTGTTTCCACAAAAGACAGCAGACCTTGAGAAATAACTGTTTCACATACAATGAAGGCTCCAATTCTGTTTTTGTCTGTTACAGTAGACAGGCTCTTAAACACACAGAAAACAAACACATACGCATATGCATTCATAAATACACATACACACATATAGACACATATGCATACATTCACCAGTATGTAGAAATACATGCATATACGTACATTCACAAGCATATGAATACATATGCACATGCGTGTGCACACACGTGCACACGCTGCGGCGCCCCTCTCCCCGCAAAACTCGACCTCGCCAGCAGCGACACCCGCCCATCCAGGGGAAATAAGACACCCAGGCCTGGGGCGCTGCAAAACACCCTCCAACGTCTACGAAGGTTCTAGCGCCTTTTCACATCCACCTCATAACGGCTTCCTTTTCTGGTAATAACAGATTTGGAAAAATCAAGGCTACACAACGTGTAACGGTCATCGGTCGCCCAAGTGCCTTAGGGACAAAAGCCTTATGCTTCTCGCCGACGAGGTAAAAGGACGACACAGGGGCCGCGACCTCTTACCAGGGTGACCCGTCGGTTTGGGGGCGCCATGAGCGCAGCCCTCCCAGACTTCTCCGACCAACCCCGGCAAGGTGGGTGCGATGCCCCCAAGCGCGCGGGGGCCCGGACGGGTCTTGGGTGACAATGGGGGTCGGGGATACAGGGTAGAGGCTTGGGACACGGAATCAAGTGCGGACTGGGAGATTTGGGGTTGCGAAGTGCCGGCAACGGGCGCAGGGTGAAAGTTTGGGATGCAGGTAGGATTTGGGGTTCGGGTGAAGGTTTAGAATGGAGGCATGATGTGCAGGTGGGTGTTTGGGACCTCAGGTGAAAGCTTGGGAAGCGAAGGGGATTTTGAGGTCCCGCGTGGAGACTTAGGTGTGGACTGGGTTTGGGGGAGCGGATTGGAGGCTTGAGGTGCGGGGGTGGGGGGCGCTGGACCTGCCTTCCGCGCGGGCACGCACCTTGTGGCAGGCCGGGCAGGTGGGCAGTGAGCTCTTGCCCCCGTGGCCCCCGTGGCCCCCGCTGCCGCCGCCGCCGCCGCCGCCGCCGCCGCTGCTCAGGCTGCTCTGGATCTGCGTGAGCTCCTGGCGCAGCACCTGCTTCTGGTGGAAGCTGAAGGCCGGGTGATTGGAGGCCATGGTGAAGAGCAGCAAGAACTCATCGCCCGTGCGGCCTTCGTTGAGCTGCAGCCCGTAGTTATGGATGATGGAGTCGATGTGCGTGAGCGTGCGGTAGAGCACGCCAGCAGCTTCGCGCTGCTCCGAGCCCAGCAGCGCCAACGACACCAGAAGCTTGCTGCGCACCACCTCGTCCGTCAGATTGGTGAGGCTGCCCAGGTCGGCCGGGTTGTTGGCCTTGATCTCTGAGTCGCGCAGCGAGTGGTAGTCCTTGCGCGCCAGGTCCTCGAGGCACGAGCCGAGGAAACGCAGCTCGAGCGGGATGCACAGGTCCAGCAGGCCGCACAGAAACTCCACACGCTGCGGCGACGGCAGCTCCGAGAACCAGCGGTACACGCCGTCCCTCTGCAGCGGGCAGCGCTTCTCCACCATGCTGCCGCCCGCGCCGCGCCG